CGATGGCGACCGCCCGACGATGACCCGTGTCAGGGGGAGGGGGTATCCGCAGCCGTGTGCGGTGTGCTGTCTTGAATCGTCCGTTTGTATATAGAGAGAGCGAATGTCCAGCGATTGAATCTGTATGCCTGTGTTTCTTGTTCCCGCATGTTTTTGTTTGTGCCCGACTCAGACTCTGGACTGTAATCGCCACGCCCCGCGTGGATTGTCCATGAAGGTAATACAATACAATACAACACATTACAACATCATTCCAAAGATCATTCATACCAAGCACCGTCAGGAAATGGAACCAACTTCCAACTTCAATCCGACAACAACCTTGCCTTTCAACCTTTGTAAATGGCATCGTCGAGCTGTGGGACTGCCCTTCTCCCCCTGCATACTACTCATTTGGCAGTAAATTTAGAAATATCCTTCATACACGAATTAGAACCGCAACTTTACCGCTAAATGCATACCTATATCAAATTCAAAAATCAGAATCGTGCTGTTGTACATGTGGCTTCCGAACCGAAAATGTCCAACACTTTGTTCTACACTGTCCACTGTACCAGTCGTTGAGAGATAATTTATTCACCGATCTCTCCGATACAATTCAAAACTTTACACACCTTTCATCAGAACAAAAACTTGACATCCTCTTCCACGGCAAATCCCTCAGCGCAGAGGATGGTCGGCGCGTCGCCGAGTGCTTCCAGATTTACATTGAAAAATCCCTCACCATCAGGAATTCGGCGGCGGCTGGCGGCGGCGTGGCCGCGCGGCGGTGACAGCAGCCCTTTTTTGCGGACATCGCCACTCGCCAGTGAACTACCTCAGAGGCGGCAGCTTTACTTCAGTTACTTATGTTTATACGTAACTTAGTTGATACCAACGATTATTTTATACTTTTAAGTGTACTTAATTTTTCATTGTATTTTTCTTTTAATTTGATTATCAAAACCTCGGTTTATCATTATTTGTGTTGCACCCGATGTTTTTTTTTTCTTCTTGTCATGAATGACGTGTGAATGAGCTAGAGTGTGTGAGGGAGAGGTGCCATGAAATAAGCTGAATAGCTTTTGCACCGATCCAAGATTGCCTTATGTCTATTTATGCGAAAATATTCAATAAAATCGAGCAAACAAAACAAACAACAAACAAACCGGCCTGTCAGGAGCACCATCGGCCTAGCAAGAGCACCACCGGTCTGCCAGGGGCACCACAGACCTGTCAGGGGCACCACAGGTCTTCCAGGGGCACCAAAGGCCTTCTAGGGGCACCACCGGCCTCGCAGGGGCACCTTGGGCCTGTCAAGGGCACCACGGGCCTGTCGGGGGCACCTCTGGCTTGTCAGAGCCAAGGGCACCACAGTCCTTTCAGGAGCACCACAGGCCTGTCAGGAGCACCACAGACCTGTCAGGGGCACCAGAAGCCTAGCAGGGGCACCACAGACCTGCCAGGGGCACCACAGGCTTGCCAGGGGCACCCACTGGCCTCGCAGGGGCACCCTGGGATTGTCAGGGGCATCACGTGCCTGTCGGGGACACTTCAGGCTTGTCAGGAGCACCACAGTCCTGTCAGGAGCGGCCTAGCAGGGGCACCACGGCCTCGCCGGGGCACCACCGGCCTCGCAGAGGCACCATGGGCCTGTCGTTGGCACTTCAGGCTCGTAAGAAGCACCACAGTCCTTCCAGGGGCACCACAAACCTGCCAGGGCCCCTGCGGCCTAGCAGGGGCACCACAGGCCCGCCAGGGGTCACCACAGGCCTGCCAGGGCAAAAAAAAAAATGAAAATAGGGCACCACCAAAATTAACCCTAGAACGCCTAGGGGGGGTTGTATCAACCCCCCCCCCCTGAGGTTTTTTCGAAGTGCACGCTAAACGGCTTGTCGTAGCGGGCTGAAATTTTCAATACCCTCTGGGGCAACCTTTGCGCATCTTTTGCCGAAAAAAAATTGATCGGGTCATGTCAGGTCACGGAGTTATGACGTCATAAGAGGTACAGCCTCCGGCCGACAGTTACCAAACGTGTGCGCCGAATCCCTAGGTTTTCTGCCGGTGATACCCACATTGTTTGATGGATCATGATGAAACTTCCCATGCATGTTCGGGCAAGCATTGGCTATCGTGTGGTGCAAGAAAATTGACCGGGTCAGGTCAGGTCACGGAGCTATGACGTCACAAGAGGAACAGCGTCCGGTACTATTTTTGAAAAGCGCCCGAACCACTATTTTGCTAATTCTTGTCACCTCAATGGGAATATGCAGCAATATTAGCTTCTATAGGGAGCAAATGGACCTCCCAAATCCAAAAATACAATCAGATTTCAAAAATTTAAATTTTGATTTTTTTTTTACCTTGCCGACTTCCGGCGCTCCCAACGCGCCATTTTTAGAGCTAGGGAAACGAAATACATACCAAACGATAGAGAATTGATCAAGGAACACGAAAGTGAAGGTTTCAAGTCGATATCTCCCACCGTTTTGCCGCAATCGCCGCGGAAAGCTGAAAAAAGTCTTTTTCGGAAAATTTGACCTTTGACCGGTCATAAGTAGGTCAAATGTTGACCTAGGACCAAAAAATATACCACCAATCGCGAGATCTCGTTGAGAGCAATCCGTTGGTTTTTTCCGCTAAGCTCTACGACCTTCCGTTTCGAAACGCCAGGGGGGGGTCGTAACAACCCCCCCCCCCCTGGTCGTTCGTGTTATGAGAAATGGCCTGGTCGTGCGAGGGTTAAGTGGCCGAAATCCGTTGAGGTTTTAATTTTGGGTATAGGTAGGGGCACTAACCTATACCCAAAAGGGTCATGTTACTTCGATTCATGACCCTCCCCTAGGAGTTTTCCTGGATCCGCTCCTGGTGCCAACGCGGCTGCGGAGGCCAGGGGGACGCGTGTTCATGAGATTTAATATCTGGACGGAGTCTCCCTGAGATTTTGGTCGATTTATTTTTCTTGTCACCTTTTTACCGATTTGAGCATGCTTGCGAAAATAAAGTGGCCGAAATCCGAGGAGAAAATGGATTTTGGGGGTAGGTGAGGTTTTGTGCCTCTGGGAGCCTGCCCCCCCCCCCCCACTTTCGAAAACGTTCCCACACCTATGGAGCTCGCACACGGTCAGCGTCCACCGGCCCACCGGAAGCCAGCTCCTAAAACGCTAGAGCTAAAACGCTTAAGCCACCCATCGTTAACCCTTGCCCGCACATGGGGGGGGGGGGTGCCAGTTGCCACCCCCCTCTCCCAGGTAGGTTTTCTGCTCTGCATTCAACATTTTTAGAGCTAGAAGGCTGATTTTTCGTATAGTTGTTCCTCTATCCTTTCTTTATGTCCACTAAAAATTTCAAGTTTCTGTGGTTTTTGGTTTCGGAGATATGACATTGTTCATCAGGTCAGGCCATGACCCAAATGTCAAATATCCAACATCTTGCGTTGGCTACGGCTTTGACACCTTGATTTCGGCCTTTTTTGCCAGTCTTACCTCCCAACTATCATGGAACATGTTGTTTGACGATGTACAGATGTCAAGGTCAGGGTCGAGGTGAACCTAGGTCATCTAAAAACATTGCGCTTTAGGCAAGCTGAATTTCCTTTTTGTGAAATTTCTTCGACTGTATTTTTGGTAAAAGCTTCTCATTTCATGATCTGATGTAATATGGACACATAAACAATCGGTGTACACATCAGTATACACACAGACACACACAAACATACAATACAAACACATATCATTGACCTTGACCTAACTTGACCTGAAATGACCTCAGCAGCAAAAACCTGGTCGGATAGTGTGACAAAGAGGTTCTAGCTTACTTGGCACCACAAAATGGCATTGTCATCGGTATATGGTGAGCAGCGCACTTGATATCCAACGGTGACCCAAAACAGCAACATTTTTTAGTTTGACCTGATCTGGAGGGTCAATGACTGGCCTGAGAAGGTAAAACTGGGTATCATTGGATTTGTCTCTTCCCAAAGAATCTTTTTGGTCTTTACCGCGAAGCTCTATTTCCAACAGGAACGAAATGGCGCGGGGGGTGGGGGTGGCAACCACTCCCCCCCCCATGTGCGTTCTAAGATGGAAGAATGGCATGTGCGGGCGAGGCATAAAGCTGTGGAGGGCTAAAACGATGGGTGGCCACTTTGCCCCGAGTGCCCGCTTTGCCCCACTCTCCCCTACAAAGTCCATGATATAAAAAATCTTATTGTGATTATGAAAACCGACTTACAAAACAAGACAATTCCGTGGATCATGCCTACCTAACTTGGTCTTACCCCTTAATTCAATATACCCTGAATCAGACATGTGCATGGATCCGAGAAAATGGATCTGGGATCTGATCCCACGGAACCTGGTCTCGGATTCGACGGGATCATAGATCTAGCTCTGTGATTTATCGAGAGATCCGTAGGAATCACAGATCCGAGTCTCATTTTGCTTGAGATCCAGTGGGCAGTGAGATCATAGATCCTCAATTATTTTTTGTCAACACATATATCCCAAAAAAGCACTTGTTTCAACTCACAAGCGTTCTGTTTTAGTGATTTTATGTAATCGCACGTCATAATCCATAGTTTTGTGTCACTTATTGGCATAAAAACCCTTTACAGCATGGTTTCAAATGTGGTATTTACATGATGGGTACCACTCAGATCATAGATCCATGTTTTTAATTTATCGTCAGATCATATGAGATCATAGATCCAAGATGTACTTTTCACGCCGGATCCGGTGGGATCATAGATCCCAACCTGTACTTTGCTTCGAGATCCACTGAGATCATAGATCCATCACTCGGATCCATGGACATGTCTGCCCTGAATCTACCTACCTGATTGGACTACCTGATACTAGTCTCAGTGACGCTACTACAGCACGCGCTACCGTCTGGACGACCTCAGCAAGGCGCCCGTCCGTTCAGCCCTCTGTGCTGCCCCGTCCAACCGCGTGCTACCGCTCCAACCGTGCTGCCTTCCGTCACAGTGGTGGAGTGCTGGTGTGGCGCCGGGTAGAGCCGGAGAGGGGCCTTCAGCCGCTGCCCTGCCAGAGGGTGATCCCGCCACCACAAGGCCAAGCTAGCAAAGGTAAGAAGTTGGGGATAGAAGCGGAGGTTTGATTATCGCTGTGGAAGTCACAAGTGCCATTTTCTTCCGTAATGTTGTATCGAGACCTATTCTGATCTGGAGCCATTTGTCATGCTCGGCCGTATATATTCACCTGGGTGTACTGTTTTACAGTCATTGATCAATCGCATTCCTGATGTCAGATGTTCCCTCTACTCTGTCCTGCCTGTCTGATCGCTATATCAGCGCTGTAACCCGACCGAGGCGCCCTCTGGTCACAGCTGACCTGTTCATTCCGCCGCTAGATGGCAGCACCATCAAGCACATGGTGGGCCCCGGCTGACAGCTCGGTCCAGCGACGCTGCAGGCGTCCTCCAGTGTAGACCGGAGTCACGGCGCTCAGCCCAGCGCCGCGGAGTCGGTGGATTTTCCGTGACTCCGACTCCGACTCTGGACAGCCTCCTTAGCCCTCGCCGTCCAAGGTACGGGGTTTGTGCCACCTCTTGAAACCGTTTTCCGATTTCTCGGAATCCGCTTGAGCTGGATAGCTGGTATTTGGCCTACCTGACCTGTGATTCCGGTCAGATGTTTGGTCATTTGTCAGGCTGTCTGACGTCATTGACGTCTGACTGGCTCCATCAGAAAACCACTAAAAGAATGTAGGGAGCTCACGATCATTCACTATTTGCGTGATATTTATCGTTCATATGAATCACTATATGTCTGGTTGGCCGCCTGCCCTCATTTAAATTCAATCTGAATGCATGTTAAAGCATGCTTCCAGGCGCCTTTGTCTCATGCGGGCTGCTTGCTCCCTTGGAGCGGCACCGCTGCCCCCGAGGGAGCGCACCTGTGGCCGGGTGTAACGAGTACTTGGGGGGGGGGGCTGGTCGGCCTGACCTTCGGGATAGGCTCAGTCCCTGCGACTCTCTAGGGTGCCTGCCTGCCCAGACCAATGTCTCCCCTTATTCCTATCACCCTTCCGGCTCTGAAATGGCCTTGTCAGACCGGAAGGGGCTTACCCAACGAAACAAAAATAAATGTTGTGGCCATTTAACTGTGATGTGCCCGTAATTGAATCAGCAAAATTCATGCTTAAAATCTTCCTTTGTATTCCGCTGAGTCATCGTTCAGTGGCTCATCGACCAGTTATCTTGACATCCTCAGCCAATCGGTTACTGCGAAAGTAACATGCAATTACCAAATCTGATACATGCACGGACATGTTTGGGTGGGGGAAAGCATCCATCAGATCCAATGCCTGACCTTCACAAAACACATAGAAAGTAAGTTTCTACATGACTGATAGTCTGATAGTGACATTTCATGACATACGAGGGTAACTAAACATGACATCAGTGCAATACAGTCACTCACCAAATCTTGCCCGTCAATTTGGCCACAAAAATGTCGACAAAAAAGGACCCAGCTCGGTCTCAAAACTGCGCCACGCCGTGTGTGCCGGTGCCGATCAGCTGTCGCCCAGCTAATCCAGCTGACCTAGTGGTGGCGGCCTTAGTTCGTGACACATCAGCACTCAACAACAAATACAAACAAGCAAACTCAAATCGCATTTGCATCCATTCGAAAAACTCGTAGAGCAATTGGCTAGAGCAAACAGTTGGTTGACGATGATACAAAAACGGTAAGGAAATTCAAATTGGCATAAGACCAAAGAGAGATTCAGCCCTAACGCATAACTGAGGTAAGGCGTACTTCTGTTTCGTAGACTTCTCCATAGATGGCGCGAGTGACGAGCGCCTGAAGTTAGGCTGTCCCGCAGTAACCGAACTTGTATCGCCGTCAACAGATGGCGGTAGTTGTCCACACCCGACGCAATACTGCGGCAGGGGTTCAGCTCTAATAACAAATATGGGGGAGATAAGTCATATTGCGCCACCTTAAGGATATCGGCCTATTTCGGCTAAAGTTGACCAGCTGTCATGTTTGATGATAGGTATCTCAAATTGTACCTCAGTTATTTTGGCATCAAATAACAACTCCCAATTTGTATCACACCCAGACAAATTAACAAGATAAAAGCTTTCCGGCACATCTGCAAAGGGCGCATTTACGGACTCCCCCATCAAAAAGCGCCCATGCCTCTCATGTAAAAGCGCCCTATTAAAAACAACGGTTTGCCACCTAACTAAGTAGCCTATTTGAACGTGTCAGCCCATTAACCATTTATGCTGTGAAGGCTAAGGTAATGGTAAGGTGAGCGCTCTAATAATCAAAGTGTTCAATGAAATGTGTCCCAACCACCAGATGCTGTTTATCTGGGTTGAAGAATAGGGCGCAAATAGGGTGGGCGCAATTACGAATGGAACACATTTTTCATGAGCTTCAAATATGGCGACGACATATTTGTGGTGATAAACTTTTAAAACTACCATTAAACGAGTAATTAACAATGATTATTAGTTGAATTACTATCTCAAAGATAAACCATGACACTAGCAAAGGTCGAAATAGACTGTTTCGCGTAAGAAAATAGAGGAAATCACAAAAAAGGTCTGCGAGAAAGCTGAGACACCTCACCTGCCCCTATGGACCGGCATAAGAGCGAGTTATTGGTGGTGAAGTAAATGCACACATTCGAGTATTCGTTCGAATCGAATTTTGGGCAGGAGGAAGGTGTGGCGCATTTAAGAACATGGCGCAATATGACCTCTCTCCCCTGCATGTTAACTATAGGCGGCGGAACGGGAAGGGCACCATGCCCACCCCCTCCCCCTTGATTTGGGAATTTTAACATTAGACCTATGGGCGTTGCATGGAAAGAATGGGACCAAAAGTCGGCAGTGCACCCCCCCCCCCCCCCCCCTCCTTAATTGAAGGTGTTCCGCCGCTATTGATGTTAACGGCATATTTACCGTAGTTTTTTTTTCAATGCTCTAGTTACCGTCCTTTACTATAAGAAATGGCTAAATTATCGCCAGTTAAGGTGTTTTACCGGCCGTTAACGTAAAGAGGAAGAGTCAATGAACCCTCCCCCCCCCCACCGTTCAGATCTTGATAGAGCTAGAGGTTCCTGGAAATTACTAGCGTCCCCTCTCTGACTAAATAGTACCCGATTGTATGGTGACGTTTGGAAGGTCCTAGTTCATTGGTTGGGCATTCCGGGGCTAGGCTGGCGACCCAAATATCGGGAACATTGTAACTGCTAAAACTTTCTAGGGATGTTGTGCTGCCGAATCGAATGATGTGCCATATGATACCCTTTGCCCAGCTTCGTGACCTGAGGGGCTCTGACCTGACCTTGACCCGAGGTCAACTCCTTAAGTTGACCTCACCCTAACCAAAAGTACACCATTCGACGCACCTGAGCTAGGCGAACTGAATGATGCCAAAATCGCGGCTCTGCGGCCATATTTTGCAAAGTTATTTATTAAAAACCGAATCCCTAACTTCAGTCACTTGACCCGTCCTCACACGCTACCGGTTAACCTGAGACCTTAAAATCGGGTACCAATCGCTGCGACTTGTAACGGCACATACGCTCATTTTTTCCGCGAGGCTCTAGCTCTATTAGAAGCGATACGGCGTGCTGGGGTCGTATTAACCCCTCCGAAACCCATTTTGTTTGCGGGAAAATGAGGAACTTATAGAAAGAACACCTTTCTAATTTTTTGCATGTCGATTTGCAATGACATGAATTTTATTTTCAAAAAATAAAAATGTGAAAAATTTTGGTCCCAAAGTCATTATAGGCAAATGAAAAAAGATCAAGATTTTTGTTCAACAGTGAAAACGTTTCTTTGGAATTTTTAAAAAATAATAAAATAAAATAAATATAAATAAATTAGCTTAGTGTTGTTTACCGTTTGTTGGTTGCTTAACCCGTTCTTGAGTTATAGGCCATCAAACTCACCGTTACAAACCGAAGTTTAAAAATGTAATGCAATATAACTCTAAAAGTGTTAATCTGAGAAGTCTGATATTTTGCCAGGTGTCTTTGGGGCCTATGAGTACCCCTAGAACCGATTTTCATTAAAATCTGAGGCCTGTTTCACTAAAAACTTGTAATTACAAGTGTTTGTAGTTTACAATTCATAAGTATTTTTACCATTGACCTATAATAAGTATAGACGAACTACTCGCGTCTTTGCGGCGTTCCTCGTCGACCAAAGAAGCAAATTGTTTTCTGAATTTACAGCGCAGGACAAGGGCAATCCTAACCTTTAAACACGGACGTAGAAATAAAAGTTTGCTAAATATTTAACGTTAATTTATTTTAAAATGTGTAACAGAACGCTAACATTTACTAAAAAACATTTATTTAAACGTTTAAGGTTTGAAGTCAAGCCTCACGAAATCGTGTCCATGGTAACGGAATAAACAAAGTCATCGGCATCATTTATTGTTGCCGCATTGCAAATTGCGTAAGGTGTGTTGATAGTCCTGTGCATATTAAACAAGAAAAGATAATTTGTCACCAATAAAGAGCACAAACAAATATCAAGCACATATTGCACGTGATAAGTGAATCATTTCAAGGCGATAAAATTGACTTACGTTATTACAGCAAGCATTTCAAGCGGTGTCTTCTGGGATATTTGGTATTTATGTAATTAAAGCATTTTATTTCATTTTCTTTAAATCTATCCTGTTTATCTGCTAGAGCAGTCAGGCACTGATAATTTTATCATAATGGCTAGTGTCAGGAGAAGAAAAAAAAACTGAGAGACACTTGCAATCTTCACAAATGTCATAAGGAACGGCTTGGAAGAGGTCTACCCAAGGTCTACCTAAGAAGGCACAGGCCTATGTTCCTGTTGCTGGAAGGCTTCTGGTGTGTGCTGAAATTCATCTGCCAGCTGAACCAGACATAGCCCGACTTATGGCCAACATATAAAGTAAAAAAGATTGACGAACTTCAGTTGTAAGTTGCTACTGCAATTAAACATGATGGAGGCTGGAGCCGTCAAGAAAACTGAATGGAAGCTCAGCAAGACTGCAACAGTCGAAATGCCTACCAAGTGTGACCTGCTAATGACTGGCTTAATTATTTCTTGCGTGGCTCAACATAAGTGCTCAAGAGCAGAAGGCTGGCCCCTCATTTACTTGTGTGTGCGCTGATTTGTGGAACGTTGTTAAAATCGAAAACCAGAATTCGTGAACTTTTGGTGATCACCAGTGACCTTTAGCGATGGCCTGATCGAAAAATGGTCTAGATGATTCTCAAAGTTCTTATAGCGAGCTACCTACTGCCCTTTCCGCATCTTTCTACCTTTCTTCCTTTGCGAGATAATATGGCGTGGACAAATACGTCCCCCCTCCTCCCATCACTATGGTGAAGCTGGCTGAAAGGCCCACCCGGGCGCGGGTTAAAGAGGCTCATGGGTGAATGAAATCATGTATCATTATGTGCACTCAGATTGGTATGAGTATATCGCCACTCATCCCACAGTCTCTACTACCATGCACATTATTTTCACGTCTTCATATGCTTTGACTATGCTTTGATGATGTCATGAAT